GGGACTCCATCACAGGACGCTGGGATCATGACCCAAGCCGAAGGCAGCCGCTTAACTGACTGAGCCACCCAGGCATCCCAGCCCTGTAACATTTAAAATTGAATTTGTGATTTAAAAGGTATTAAAAAAAAGAAATCTTCAGTCCTACCTGGTTTCACTGGAGAATTTTGCCAAACATTCAAAGAATTAACACCAGTTTGATACAATGATACAATCTCTTAGGAAATAGAAACAGAAGGAATATTTCCCAACTCATTCTGAGGCCTATATTACCCTGATATCCAAGCTTGACAAAGCACAAAAAAGAAAAGTACAGACTAATGTATCTCATGAACCCAGGTGCAAAAATCTGTAATAAAATTTTAGTTATTCTAATCTAACATGACCAAGTAGCATTTAGTCGGGAAATGCAAATCATGTTTCAATATTAGAAAATCAGTGTAATTCACCGTATCAGGAGGCTGAAGAAGAAAAATCATATCAAATCAATTGATGCAGAAAATCTTTTGATAAAGTTCATGACTTAAACTGTCAGTAAACTGGAAATAAAGGGAAACACCCTCAACTTCATAATAGGCATCTACAAAAAAACCAAAAACCTTAAATCTAACTTCATATACATAGAAGACTAAATGCTCTCCCTCTACAGTAGGGGAAAAAAGAAGGATGTTTGCTGTCACCACTGGAATCACAACATTGTACTGGAAGTTCTAGTTCTAGTTACTAGTTACTAGTACTAGTTCTAGTTACTAGTTCTAGTTACTGCAGTAAGGCAGGAAAGAGAAAAGGCATACAGAGTTGATAAGAAGGAAGGAATGAAATAATTGCTATTTCCAGTTGACATGATTATTTGTTTAGAAAATCCCAAGAACTCTCTGAAAACTCTTCTGGAACTAAAAAATGAGTTCATTATAGTTAGCAGGATACAAGATTCAACACAGAAAAATCAACTGAATTTCCATACATTGATAATAAACAAGTGTATAAAAATATAATACCATTTATAATTGCTTCCAAAAAATGAAAAAAAATTAGTAAAACATGCAGGATTTATGCAATTAAAATGACAAAATGTTGATGAAATCAAAGAAGACCTAAATACTTAAAGAATCATACCATGTTCCATACCATGTTCATGAATTAGAAGATTCAATGTAGTAAAAATGGTAGGTTGTCCTAACTTGACCTTTTTTAGTGCAATTCCTGGTAAAATCTCAAGAACATTTTTTATAGATACAGACAAACTTATTCTAAAATGTATATGGAAAGGGAAAGGTCTTAAAACAGCCAAAACAGTTTTGAAGAATTAAGTGGTGCCCCGGATTGGAGTATCTTTTAAAAAAAACAACAAGTGATTAAAAACCAGATGCTGGTGATGATATGGAGAAACTGAATTATCCATTGTTGGTAAGAATGTAAAGTGACACAACCATTATGCAAAATAATTTGACAGTCCCTTTTAAAACTAAAAATGGACCTACCATAGGTAATTCTACTCTTGCACCTATGTCCCAGAGTAAAGAAAATGTATTTTCACTCAGAAATTTGTACATGAATGTTCTTAGCAACTTCTAACTCTTCATAGCCAAAAAGTTGAAACTGCCCAATGTCCTGCAGTGAGTCAATGAATGAGCTAATTATGGTATATCCATACCATGGAATATTAGCAGTGAAACAGAACAAATCATTGATTTATGCATCCAGTACCTTGAATGGACTGCAAGGATTAATATGAAGTAAAAACAGTCCATCTCAAATGATATGTACTGTTTGATTCCAATATGTAAATTTTGTGAAATGTAAAGATGGAGAACATATTAGTAGTTGATGAGTATTAGGTAGGGAGTAGTGAATATGGCTGTGAAGTGTATAGTAATGGTACAATTGAGTATCTTGATTATGGTGATGGTTACATAAGGTTATATGTGTGACAAATTGCATTAATACAGATACACTATATGTCATGTATAATTGCTAGAATCAGTTTCCTGGCTTTGATAGTGTACTATAGTTATGCAAGATGATTAACTTGGGAGAGGATGGATACAGGGTCCATGAAAACTCCTTGTACATTTTACCTTTCTGTGAATCTATAATATTTCAAAATGAAATGTTAAAAAAAATTGCTTCATGGGGCACCTGGGTGGCTCAGTGGGTTAAAGCCTCTGCCTTCGGCTCAGGTCATGATCCCAGGGTCCTGGGATCGAGTCCCACATCGGGCTCTCTGCTCCACGGAGAGCCTGCTTCCTCCTCTCTCTCTGCCTGCCTCTCTGCCTACTTGTGATCTCTGTCTGTCAAATAAATAAATAAAATCTTTTAAAAAAAATTGCTTCAAAGTAACTCAGATTTTTCTACTTAAAGTTCTCAAATACCATGAAAGAAATATACAGGCTATAGTGATACTCAGTTCTCCTCCATCCACTCTTCTGTAACTGTAGATACTTCCATCATCTTTTCATAGTTCATATCTTTGCCCAGTCTTGCCTATTTCTTGTTTTCCTTCACCTTCCTACTCTCTGACTCATATTTCAAAAGCTCAAGGAACTGATAAGCTAATGCCAAGATCCCTTTGAAGAGGGGAAGAAACTGAGTGGGCAGTAGCCTTTGGTCAGGCTCCAAGAAAGACAGGCAGAGCACATTCATATAATAATGTTTTTTGTTCTGATATACCCACAAAGTAGGTGGTATTATTATGCCCAAACTTACAGCAAGTTTCAGTAATTTTGCTGAAGGTCAGCAATGGTTAGGTGACATTGACAAATGTGTGAACTGACAGAATTTGGAGTCTTTCATAGTCCATGTTCTTAACCATCATATATACTGCCTGTCCACCATTATGATACACTGATGTGCACTACTGCAGATGGTATATATAAAAATGGTATGGCATGTCACACTTAAATGACTGGTGGAGGTATGAGCAAGGCTTTCTCCATGGGAGAAATGTTTGATTTGCATTTTGGAAGATGAGTAGAATTAGCCATTTTAAGAAGATGAGTGAAATCATGACATAGTCTATAAACCACATGTAGTCATCATGGCTAGAATGTAGGCATTGGCAGAGATGAGAATAGATACAGCTAGGTCACAAATGGCCTTATCTGCCATGCAATGGAATAGAATGTATATGAATAATCTATATTCATATATTATGAAGATATGGAAACCATTGGAAGGTTTTTGTGGGCTTTGATGTGAAAGAAACTGTGAAAAGGGCTACTCTGCATTGTAGAGAATAGACTGGGGAAAGGAGTAGACTAAGAGATGTAATGATAAATTAGGAAACTCTTGGAAAGTCAGAAGTCAAGAGCAGAGACCATGAACTCAGGAAGAAACTAAAGGGGTAGTTAGACAGGAGGAGGTGGCTTAGTAATTTGATGGTCCTATTTTGGCAGGGTAGAGAAAGAGGCAAAACTCCCAGCTTGCTGCCTTGGGTGTCAGATTATGATCAATAACTGAAGTAGGAATAAAATCATATAGTAAAAAGAATGATGAAGTCAGGTTTATAAATTGTTTGAAGTAGCTTTGCTGCATAGTGAGTAGAGTTGTCCAGATGTTAGTTGAATATACACAGACATTCAAGAAAAAGGACTACAAGGCTGATTGAGATTTGGGAATCAGCAACATATGTTAAAGCCTAGAAATAAGAAGAGAAGGAGGACCAGAGAATGAACCTTGACAAAATATTGACATTAGTGATGAGCCAAGGAAGAGAAAAGCCAGGGAAAAATAGGATTGATTGGAAGAACCCAGGAGAGAGTGCTGTTATAAATATGAAAGAGAAGAGAGATTTGTTTTTAATGTGTGAATTATAGAACACTATTTGGTCGGATATTATGAATACTATACAGTCAGTTAACAATACTGTTTTTAAGGATATTGAATGTGAGGAGAGACTTAGAATATTACAATTAATTGATATGCTGATTAATATTAAGGTAAAATCAGAATAACTCTAGTAAAATTCCAGTTTTGTAAAGATAAAATGTGTATGTACTTATACATATGAGGAAAAAGAAATTTGGAAGTAAATTAACTTTAGACTTTAGGTGCTTTGGGTTGTCGAATTGTGAATGATTTATAAGCTTTCTGCAGTGAACATATGTTTTTATGAGAGGAAAAAAAGAGTTGTATGGATTCAAACTCATCTCCAGTGGAAATATTAATTAAAAATTTACTCAAAAGTGTCCGTTTGAATTATGAACTAGGAAGTCAGTGATAACCTTGAAAATTTTCACAGTCTTAGTGGGATCAGAAACCAGATTGTGTTAGGTTAGAAAGTAAATAGGGAAAAAAATGTAAATAGGAAGCAGGAAAATGGAGGCCATGAATATAAAAAAGTATGCTTTCAACAAGCTGATAAAAAGACATTAGATAGGAAAGTTAGACCCTGATGATTTTTTTTTTTTAAGGAGAAAATCTTACAGCATAGTTGTGTGCTGAATACAGAGAAAATGGATAGTTTGACAATCTGATAACTTTTTGGAAGGATATTAATAATTTCTAATAAGGACATAATTCCATGTTTATGATAAGCTGTGTTTAAAAATGATACCAGTTTGTGATTGAATGTGATCATTTGCAGTATAGTAACAGGATATGTCCAAGTGTAGAGTTTGAGTTCAAATATTTAATATTGTGTCTGTGTATTTAGTATGTAAACAAATGTGTAGAGATGACCGACCCTTTACAGAACAGAACTTGTATTTGGGTTTAGCTAACCTCCAAAGCAGTTTTAAAAAACTGATTACTTAAATGACTAATAAAAACATAGCTGGTCTCTTTTGAATAATTATATATGGGGTTTAATTGCTTCCTTCTATTCTCAATGAATGTACTGGTTATACTGACGTAAGAAAATGCCAGGGTTTATCTAAGTTTATCCACTAGAAATGATCAGTGTTTGCCAAATGAAATAAAGTGGCACCTGGATATTCCTAGGTAAGATGCTAATGTAGCCTTAGTCATTCTTTAAACTTAGTACATTAAATGATGAACAGGGAATCCTGCAAAACCTGGCAGCTATGTATGGAGGCAGGTCCAGCTCTTCAAGAGGAGGGAAGCCAAGAAACAAAGAGGAAGAGGTATGCTTCCCGCATGTTCGCTACCTCCGTCACATAGCCATTTTTGAGTTTATTGCCTTCCTTTCTTGCATGGTTTAAATTCTTAACAATTATTTAAGGATTTTGTAAGTCTACAGGGACCTGTTAATATAATTTGACTGACATGCTGTGTCATAATTTTGCCCCATAACTGATATTCAGTATTCTGAGTTGATTTCTTTTCTTTTGATAAAAATAAAAATTTGTAATTATGTGTTTCTTTTCAGAAATAAGTTGATCTAAATTAAACACTTGAAAGCTAATATTACATTTCCATTAACCAGATTTTGAAACTTTTATTTCTTGTATTCAGATTAACACTTTTCTTTAAATTAAAAAATTTTTAGCAGTAAAAATATTGGTAGTTTTTCCCTAAATTAAACTGCTGTATGTTTTTTTTCTCTCCTTGTAGGTTTATCTGGCAAGACTGAGGCAAATAAGACTGCAGAATTTCAATGAGCGCCAACAGATTAGAGCCAAACTTCGTGGTGAAAAGGCAGGTTGAATAATAATTTTTAAAAAGTAATTGAATGACATTATAATAGATTAAGATTAAAAATTCTATGCCACTGGGGTGCCTGGTGGCTCAGTTGGTTAAGCATCTGCCCTCGGCTCAGGTCATGATCCCACAGTCCTGGGATAGAGCCCCACATCAGGCTCCCTGCTCAACGCAGAGTCTGCTTCTCCCTCTCCCTCTTCTCCCCACCCCCAACTTGTACATGCCCCCTCTCTTTCTCTCCTCTCTTTCTCTCGCTCTGAAATAAATGAATAAAATCTTTTAAAAAAATAAAAAATGCTGTGCCACTAACATAAAATCTGATGGAGTTCAAGTCAAAGATCAGAAAACTATACATAGGAATAAAATACATTTTAGTTGTGGGATTTAAAATTGATAAGACCACTTTTCCAGAGGAATTTTGAGAGGAAAATTAAAGTACTACCCATGGCCATTTTATATCATTCTATTTTTGTCTTTTTTTCCATTCATTGTCTGTAAGAGTTGGTAGTTGTGGATAATTCACTTGCAGCACTTGAGAGAAAATTAGTAGTGTTGAACAATATACCATTTTATATTTTTAGGTGTTAGTTTATTCGTATTATCTTCCACAGAGCTCTGCACTGAATTCAAGGCTCTGTCCTAAGAGGTTTGCTTATGTACTTACTTTGTAGAAAGAAGCTGATTATTCTGAAGGACAAGAAGGAAGTGAGGAGGCTGACATGCGGCGGAAAAAAGTTGAAGCATTTAAGGTATAAACTAGAAATGTATTACAGTTTTCTTGGAGAAGATTGGGACTTAAGGTAGAAAATTGCGTTAAGTCTTGGGGCACCTGGGTGGCTCAGTGGGTTAAGCCTCTGCCTTCGCCTCAGGTCATGATGTCAGGGTCCTGGAATTGAACCCCACATCAGGCTCTCTGCTCAGCAGGAAGCCTGCTTCCTCCTCCCTCTCTCTCTCTGCCTGCCTCTCTGCCTACTTGTGATCTCTGTCAAATAAACAAATAAAATCTTAAAAAAGTAAGAGAAAATTGTGTTAAGTCTTACATAGTTATTCTCTGCCTTAATTTTTCATTCCTCTTTATCCTTCACTGTTCGGTTTCTGAAAAACAGTGTCTTCCTCTCTCTTCGTATCCTGTATTTATGGAGAGTAATTTGATAAAATGACAGAAGTATATGAAACTATGGCACAGTCTTAAAAAGAAAAAATGGTAACCTTAAAAATGAAAAATATTATTGTCTGTTTCTCTGAAGACAAATGATGTCTATATATAATAACCATAGTTTAAAATTTTTACATTTGATATTCCATTAGAATGAGAGATGGAGAGAAGTGAATTGGGTGAAATCGGAGGGGAAGACAAGCCATGAGAGACTGTAGACTCTGAGAGACAAACTGAGGGTTTTGGGGGTGGGGGGTGCAGTGAGCCTGGTGGTGGTGGGCATTATGGAGGGTACGTATTGCGTGGAGCAGTGGGTATGGTGCATAAACAATGAATTTTGGAACACTGAAAAAAAATGAAATTTAATTTAAAAAATAAATAAAAATACCATCATGCTGCATACTTTAAAAAAAAAAAAGAATATGCCTATATTTATTTTTATTCAACAAATACTTACTGAGCAGCTGCTGTGTGTTGAGCCCTGGTTTTAGTGCTAGGGATATAGAGTGAGCTTCTATTTTTACTCAAGAAATTCTCCCCCACCCCCAGAACTCCTCTTTTTTTGGCAAAATAAGTAGATTGTTTTAGAGACCTCAAACAAAACAAAACAAAAAAACAACCTATCCCCTTCTTTCTGGTAACTAATTTTGTTGATTGTTTTTATTTTCAGGCCCAAGCAAGTGCGCGTGCTGCTGTACTAAAAGAACAATTAGAACGAAAGAGAAAGGAAGCGTATGAGAGAGAAAAGAAAGTATGGGAAGAGCATGTAAGCTTTAGCTTATATTCTTGATCGTTGTCATGTTGATGTTCCTGTATCTCTTACTGGCTAATATGTCACCATTATAATTTTGTAATTCTTTCCCATTTTTTATTCTCATTCATTTCCCCCTCTCATCCCCTCACCTGGCTCTCCCTCTCTGTCTTTCCCATTTAAGGATGATCAGTATGAAAGTTATTTTGGGGTTTGATTTGGGGTGAGAACCTAATTTACTTATTCTAAATGAATAAGTTCTAAAATAGTAAGTTTTTCTTATTGCCAAGTTCCTAATCAAAGTACTGGCATCACTTAATGGCTGTGCTTTCCTTCTGCCACTGATTTATAAATATATTTTATATATAATATATAGATTTATAATTTATATTATAATTATGTAAGATATTATAATTATAAAATATATAAATTTATAGTATATTAATCTACCTTTATACATTAATATAAATACCTATATAATTAATATGAATTAATACAAATTATTGACATAAATAGTAATATAAATACATATATTAGACTCTTATACAAACTAGAGAATGACTCTAGTACACATGCATCAAGCTTTCTTCTGCTCCATTACTCTATCTGTTCTGCCACCACCTCGCTGTGTTAGTAATTATGGATTTAGAATATATTTAAAATTTTTAAAATTTAATTTTACATTAACAATAAACATTTTAACAGTGTTTATTCTTCTGATCCATGAGCATGGAATGTTTTTCCATCTTTTTGTGTCTTCGATTTCTTTCATGAGTGTTCTGTAGTTCCTCGAGTACAGATTCTTTACCTCTTTGGTTAGGTATCTTATGATTCTTGGTGCTATAGTAAATGGAATCGATTCTCTAGTTTTCCTTTCTATATTTTCATTGTTGGTGTATAAGAAAGCAACTGATTTCTTTGCATCGATTTTGTATCCTGCCACATTACTGAATTGCTGTATGAATTCTGGTAGTTTGGGGGTGGAGTCTTTTGGGTTTTCCATATAAAGTATCATGTCATCTGTGAAGAGAGAGAGTTTGACTTCTTCTTTGCCAATTTGAATACCCTTTTTTGTTGTCTGATTGCTGTTGCTAGGACTTCTAGTACTATGTTGAACAACAGTGGTGAAAGTGGGCATCCTTGTTGTGTTTCTGATCTCAAAGGGAAGGTTGTCAGCTTTCCCCATTGAGAATATTTGCTGTGGGTTTCTCATAGATAGATTTTATGAAATTGAGGAATGTTCCCTCTATCCCTATACTTTGAAGAGTTTTAATGAGGAACGGATGCTGTATCTTGTCAAATGCTTTTTCTGCATCAGTTGGGTAGACCATGTGGTTCTTCTCTCTTCGTTTATTGATTTGTTCTATCACATTGATTGATTTGCAAATGTTGAACCACTCTTGCATCTCAGGGATAAATCCCACCTGTTCATGGTGGAAAATCTTCTTAATGTACTTTCTTAATGTACTGTTGGATCCTATTAGCTAGGATCTTGTTGAGAAATTTGGCATCCATATTCATCAGAGATATTGGTCTGAAATTCTCCTTTTTGATGGGGTCTTTGCCTGGTTTGGGGATCAGGGTAATGCTGGCTTCATGGAAAGAGTCTGGAAGTTTTCCTTCTGTTTCTATTTTTTGAAACAGCTTCAGGAGAATAGGTATTATTTCTTCTTTGAATTTTGTAGAATTACCCAGGGAATCCGTCAGGTCCTGGGCTCTTGTTTTTTGGGAGGTTTTTGATCACTGCTTCAATCTCCTTACTAGATATTGGTCTATGCAGGTTGTCAGTTCCTTCCTGTTTCAGTCTTGTAAGTATATAGGTTTCTAGGAATGTATCCATTTCTTCTAGGTTGCTTAGCTTATTGGCATATAACTGTTGATAATAATTTCTGATGATTGTTTCTCTTTCCCTGGTATTAGTTGTGATCTCTCCCCTTTCATTCATCATTTTATTAATTTGGGTCCTCTCTCTTTTCTTTTGGATTAGTTTGGACTGTGGTTTATAGAACTCATTAATTCTTTCAAAGAACCAGCTTCTAGTTTCGTTGATATGTTCTACTGTATCTCTAGCTTCTATCTCACTGATCTCTGCTCTAATCTTGATTATTTCCCTCCTTGTGCATAGGTTTGGCTTAATTTGTTGTTGGTTTTCCAGGTCTTTAAGGTGTAAAAAGAGCTGGTATATTCAGGGTTTTTCAATTTTTTTGAGTGAGACTTGGATGGCTATGTATTTCCCCCCTAGGACCGCCTTTGCTGTATCCCATAGGTTTTGGACTGATGTGTCTTCATTCTCATTGGTTTCCATGAATTGTTTAAGTTCTTCTTTGATTTCCTGGTTGATCCAAACATTCTTGAGCAACTTGGTCTTTAGCTTCCAAGTGTTTGAATTCCTTCCAAACTTTTTCTTGTGGTTGAGTTCCAGTTTCAAAGCATTGTTGTCTGAGAATATGCAGGGAATAATCTTAATCTTTTGGTATTGGTTGAGCCCTGATTTGTGACCCAGTATGTGGTCTACTCTGGAGAAAGTTACATGTGCACTTGAGAAGAATGAGTATTCTGTTGTTTTGGGATGGAATGTTCTTTATATATCTATAAGGTCCATCTGGTCCAATGTGTCATTCAAAGCTCTTGTTTCTTTAATGATTTTCTGCTTGGATGATCTGTTTATTACTGAGAGTGGCGTGTTAAGATCCCTACAATTAACGTATTCATATCAATATGACTCTTTATTTTGATTAACAGTTGGCTTATGTAATTGGCTGCTCCCATATTGGGGGCATAAATATTTACAATTTTTAGATCTTCTTGGTGGATAGACTCTTTAAGAATGATGTAGTGTCCTTCTTTATCTCTGATTACAGTCTTTAGTTTAACATCTAATTTATCTGATATGAGAATTGCTACCTCAGCTTTCTTTTGAGACCCATTGCATGAAAGATGCTTCTCCTTCCCTTCACTTTCAGTCTGGATGTATTCTTAAGTTCAAAATGGGTCTCTTGTAGACAACCTGTGGACAGGCCCTGTTGTTTTATCCAATCTGCAACCCTGTGCTGTTTTATGGGAGCATTTAGTCCATTCACGTTGAGAGTTAATTGACATCATGTTGCCTGTGAAGTCCTTATTTCTATAGATTGTCTCGTAAATTTTTGTTCTATGACACTGTTGGGTTCTTTCTTCTTCTATAGAACCTGCCCCTTAATATTTCTCGTAGAGCCAGCTTGATGGTCACATACTGTTTTTCAACCTTGCTAGTCTTGGAAGCTTTTTATCTCTCCATCCATTTTGAATGTCAACCTTGCTGGATAAAGTATTCTTGGCGGCATGTTCTTCTCATTTAGAGCCCTTAATATATCTTTCCAGCCCTTTCTGGCTTGCCAGGTTTCTATGGACAGGTCTGATGTTACTCTGATGGACTTTCCTCTGTATGTAAGGAATCTGTTCCCCCTAGCTGCCCTTAGGACCTCTTGTCTAAAATTATGATTCATGAATTTTGCAATCAAGTGTCTGGATGTCTTTCCAGATTCGTTGATCTTGGTGGGTGTTCTTTGTGCCTCTAGGTCATGATCGTTTGTTCCGTACCCTAGGTTGGGGAAATTTTCATCCAGAATTTGTTCAACTATATCTTCTGGTCTTTCTCTTTTTCCACCCCCTCAGGGATCTCCAAAATTCTGACGTTGGAACGTTTCATGGCACCATTTATTTCCCTAATTCTGTTTTCATGGCTTCTAAGCAGTTTGTTCCAGGCCTCCTCCTAATTCTTTTTCTCTATCATTTTGTCCTCTAGATCACTAATTCTATCTTCTACTTTGGTTACCCTAGTTGTTAGAGTTTTTAGGTTAGATTGGATCTCACTGATAGCATTTTTAACTTCTGCCAGGTCGGCTCTCACTTCCGCCCTTAGAGATTCTTTGTTGTTACAAATAGTTTTCTCCAACCTTGCCATTGCCTGGATAATTGTTACCATGAATTCCCTTTCCAACATACTGTTTATGTCCATATCCAGCAGTCCCGTGGGAGAAGGCACAGTCTCTGATTTTGTCTTTTGTTAGGTGTTCCTCCTCCTAGTCATTTTGGTGACAGGTGATTGGGGGATGTATAGCTGAATATATTAGCCATGATCCAGGCAAGGTGCACCCTCTCCACTGATGTCTTCTGCCACTGTAGAATTCCAGAAGTGTATAATCTTACATCTCAGGCTGATTTCCTGGGTGTTCACAGTGTTCGGGTACATATTTAGCTCACTTCAGGGGACCGGTTGAAACAGGGTCTCCTACTTTTCTGCCTTCTTGCCCCTCCTCCTTGTATTTAAATTTCTGATAAGAGTTTTCCCCTCATTTCCTTTTTACTCTTCTTTGTTTTCCTTAGTTGCTTGCTCTCTTTTTCTTTACCAGATACATTCCTGGTTAATTTTTGTCTCTTTCTCTCTCTCTTTTTTTTCTTTTTAAATTCTCTTGGGGGGCACTTGGGTGGTTCATTCATTTAAGCATCTGACTGACTCTGGATTTCAGCTTAGATCATGGTCTCAGAGTCGTAAGCTCAAGCCCTGCATTGGGCTCCTCACTCAGTGGGGAGTCTGCTTCTCTCTCTCTTTCTCTCTCTCCTTGTCCCCCCTCACTCTCTCCCTTTCTGTCTCTCAAATCAATAAATAAATCTTTAAAAGAAATTCTTTTGGAATTTTTATCAGTATTACCTTAAACCCACAAATTAATTCATTCAGGAGCATGTTAAGTATCTACATTTATTCATTATTTCTTTTGTATCTCTTGCACAATTTTGATCATTTTAAGGTCATACTTGTTATATTTCTTGTAAAGGTTATTTGTTAACAGTACCTAATTCTATTTATGTTTCAAAAGGTGTTTTTTTTTTTTTTTTTTTTTTTTTTTTTTTAAAAGTTTTTTTTTTAAAGTTTCTTTTTTTTTTTTTTTTTTAAAAAGTGTTTTTTTTTTTTTTTTTTTTTTTGCCTGCCAGAATATTATTGATATGTGGAGAAATTGTTGGGTTTTAGCTTATAC